AATTGGGCGGATGGAACTTTCTTTTCTCACGAGCTGGTCTCGTACCAATACCGGTATGTCATGCGAACGAAGCACTTGCACTGCGCCAGTGCTGGGGAGGAAAAGCAAAGAGAGAGAGAGAGAGAGAGAGAGAGAGACAGGTACTGCACCGTGCAAGTCAAGGTTGGGGGTTGGTAGTGGGTCTGCTATTGTACAGTACTTTTCAGCTTTCTTACCACCAGAATGCTCCCATCTCGCTACCACTAGCTAGTCCACTATTACCGTGGTCGCCATCGAGAAACCAAGTGGCATTGAACGGAATCTACCGGTACTGATACTCGCTGAGTTATAGAGCATCATGGTTGAAAGTATTTAAGCGTTTATTCGCCCCCGAGATCCATGATACCAGTCCCCCTTTCTCCTTCGTCTCGTGTGTTGGGAGCCAGCCAGCCAGTCGGTCAGTCAGCTTCATCTTTCTTTTAGACGACAACAGGACGGGATATTTCATTATCGTAGCTACAATACGGTATTCCTCCCACTTCAAATTGACCTTCTTTTTTCTCCCCCCCCCCGGCCTTTCTTCCTAACTCAGTTCTGTCTCGGCCAGTTTGTTAACCTGCAGTCAGCCAATAAACCAGTACTGCACCCCTCCTGTCACACCCTTTCTATTGTGTGTAGTCCAGGGTATATATTGTGTTTTAATTGGGTCAGCGGCCGGGGTCTGCATAGAAGGTCAACTACTTGGATTTGGTTGAAGCACCTGGGGAGTTCCTTTTTAACACCTGGGTTGCCCCCCCTCGATCCCAAATTTTCTTCCCTCCCATACCAAGACTCTCGAACTCCGGATAAAGCTCGAAAAGTAAGTCCCAATATCAGAAGCTTTTTGCTCTCAACCTCGAGCACGAGCTTCTTCCCTCCCTTCCGTCCCGGTTTTCTTTCTTTCTTTCTTTCTTCTTCCCTTTCCCTTTCGACGGCTTGTCTGATCGAGCAGAGCTATATTCTGACAATACTCAAAGGATGTCGCTAGAGGGGAGTACCATTGAGAAGGAGGTGAAGCACGTTGATGGAGCCATTACCCCGGACTCGCTGGAGTCCTCGGACGCTGCCTCCTTCGACGAGAAGAGAACGAAGAAGCTTCTGAGGAAGCTGGATTGGCATCTTGTGCCCTTTTTGGCGCTTCTTTACTTGTGAGCTCCCTCCCCGAGTGATGTTTTGTGGCCCTGTCAACGTGGGAGGGCTCTTTCCCTTTTTCTTTTTTCTTTGGCGTTATTTTTCTTTTTGCTGCCAACCGTGAACTGACCGAGCGTGCTTGTCGTCATGTTCTAGACTTTCATTCCTGGATCGCACAAATATTGGCAATGCGCGCTTGGCCGGGCTTGAGAAGGACCTCGGCATGTCGGGTCTCGACTACAATGTAAGTGGCGCGCGATGATTTGCGCTCCGCCTCGCGAGATCGTGCGACTAACCGCTTGTTTCTCAATCGCAATAGGTTGCTCTCGCAGTCTTCTTCCCTTGGTATGTCGCGGCCGAAGTCCCTAGCAACCTCATGATGAAGAGGACCCGCCCTTCTCTCTGGCTCACCATCATCATGGTTGCTTGGGGCATCACCATGACTCTCATGGGTTTGGTCACCAACTATGTCGGCCTCTTGATCTGTCGTATGGCTCTCGGCTTGGCAGAGGGTGGTCTGTTCCCCGGTGTCACTTTCTACATCACCATGTGGTATAGACGTCACGAATGCGGTCTTCGCATGGCAATCTTCTTCTCTGCTGCTACCCTTGCCGGTGCCTTCGGTGGTCTCTTGGCTAGAGGTATCTCCGAGATGGCAGGTGTTGGGGGGAGGCCTGGATGGGCCTGGATTTTCATTCTGGAGGGATTGGTTACAGTGATTGTTGGTGAGACTAGCTTCAACCCTTGCATCTAAAAGGGTCGCGATTACTGAACCAAATTTCTAGCCTTTGTCGCGATCTGGGCCATCAATGATTACCCCGAGACGTGAGTAGCCGCGCCTATTTTGTCCCTCCAAGATTGTTGATCACTAAACCCGCGGCTAACTTTTCCTAATAGCGCTAAATTCCTCACGGCGGAAGAGCGCAACGAAGTCCACCGCCGCCTAAAGGCCGACAGGACCTCCCTCGCGGACGAGTACAACATCAAGTACTTTTTCCATGCCATCAAGGATTGGAAGATCTACGTGCACATGCTCATCACCATCGGAATCTACACCCCTCTCTACTCCTTCTCCCTCTTCCTCCCGACCATCGTGAAGAACATGGGTTACACCAACAAGGAGTCGCAACTGATGTCCGTCCCGCCCTACGTCTTTGCCTGTATCTGCACCATCGGCGCCGGCTACCTTGCCGACCGCTCGAAGCAGCGCGGGATCTTCATGATCAGCGCCTGCCTGACCTCCATCATCGGATTCACCATGTTGATCTCCACCCACAAGCCCGGCGTCCAGTACCTCGGCACCTTCCTCGCCGCCGGTGGTATCTACCCGAACGTCCCCATGGGAGTCGCATGGAACGGTAACAACATTGGCGGCTCCACCAAGCGTGGTGTCGGAATCGCGATGCACGTCGGTTTCGGTAACTTGGGCGGTATCATCGCCGCGTTCGCTTACCGCTCCACTGATGCACCCAGGTTCTTTTCCGGACACGGTCTGCTCATCGCCACGACTAGCATGAGTCTCGCGCTCTGCTGCTTCATGACTGTGTACCTGAGGAAGGAGAATGCCAGACGTGACGCCCTCATGATCAGTCAGGGACTCACGCTCGAAAGCTACTCCGATGGGATGAAGGATAAGGAGAGGGAGAAGGGTGATAATGCTACTGTGAGTTGTTTTCCCCCGTTCTCACCAAAGCAATCCAAGAACGTAAATACTAACAATGAGAATAGTTCTTCCGTTACACCATCTAAGCTCTTTCTACGACCTATTAATCTGTTGCTTATCCTATTGTTTGTTTTGCTTTCCTTCCCATTTTCATTTCCTTTCCGATACACCTTTTTATTTTACTTTATTCAACCATCTATATATATATCACAACGGGTCATTTCCTTCCCCTTTCTTTTAACGTCCGGGGGAGGGGATATGTACGGGAAATCCATTTTTGTAATACATAACTGTATGAATGGAGGGGAGCACGTACAAAAATTTTCCAAAAGGAGGTAACGAACAAACTTGACCAAAGCTTAAACAGAGTCCCCAGATTTTTGAAACAAATCCAAAGTAGATTCCCACATATTTGCACCCCCCCCCCTCCCGTACCAGTCAAAGTGAGTGAGTGAACAAAGGTAAGAAAACGAAAGAAAGAAACAAAGGCTTAAAAATATGCACACTTCGAAAGCACAGCCAAATTCCAGAACCGGTAATAATAACCCCCAAGGAAGGGAGGAATTACCCGTAAGTTACCGGTAGTCGGGAATGTAAAAAAAATAAGCTTCAAGGTAGATGGAGGGGCGACAGGAAAAGGCCCACCTCCCCCCTCCCAGCCAACTGTCACGGAAGTTTCGTCTGCCACGAGGTTAAGGGGGGAACGAACAGGGGGGATCGGAGAATACGCATCCGTCTTGCTTCCGGCAGTGGACAGTACTATACGATACAAGCTTTCCCTACCCTGCCAGTGCCCATCCGACCGCGCTCACGGCGCAAGTACCGCAGACATATGATACCGGCATCTACCCATGCTACCCAACCCGTGTCCAAGGAACCCGCAGCACACCACCACCCGACCCGCACCAAAACCCGGAAAATCCTTTTTTTTTCAGAATTCAAATGGCGCGCAACCCCTCCCCCTTCCACACACACTGACGGAATCTAATCCAAGGCAAAGGGGGGAAAAGAAAAAAAAAAAAAAGTCTATCATACCCTACTGTACTGTACAGTATCAATGACCCAACCAAAAATAGAAAACATCGAGTGATATATCATGACTGCAGTACCGGCATATCATACCAATTTCCCAGCACCAGGGCTTTGGAAAAAAAAACCCCACCATTGGTAAGTATCTTCAGCACAACAGCAAAATAAAGGCCTAGTATCGCGCATGGAACGAATGTGGGATCTACGATATCGCTGCGTCACGCCGCGCCCATAGGGTTATCATACGGAAGGCAGCTTACTGTAGAGCGGCTATCGTACGGGCAACAATGTACTCGTACGGTGCAGCACAGAATGACAAAGACACACGCGTTTGGTGAGGGAAGCAATCCCCTCCCCTCCCCTAGTGGCTACAATATTAACCCCTTTGTCTTGTCTTATATCGTATGGTAAGTAAGGGAACTTGAGCCTAGCAAATACTGTACAAGCAGTAGAGTGGCATGGAAGAAGAAAAATAACCTTACTTACGTGGCAGATTTTGTCTTAAGGGGGGAGCGTGGATTTCTTTCGGTTTTGGGAATGTGCTCCGGAAGTGGATTCTTGGCGTTTTTTTTCTTTTCTTTTCATTTTTTTTCTTTACATCTGCGTTTGAATTACTTTGGCCTGATTTGTACTTGCCGGTTTCATTTATTATGGAATGCATGGTATGTGGATTTGTCGGTTGGTTGGTTGGTTGGTTGGGGGTTTCGAGGTGTGATGTGGTGGTGGGAGGTTGGGTGAGATTTGCGTTAATCGGAAGTGTGCAAGTATCGTGCTTTATCCCCCTGAACGCTGGATGGTTTGATGTGCGTTAATTAGCTGGGTGGGTGGGTTTCACCCCCGGGATCGGTGGTTCTGGAGATCTTCTGGTGCTGCTAGTGTCGATCCGTCCATCGTCCCTTTCGGAGGATTGGGGTTACGGTATCGTACTATGATACTGGCCATGATACTCCTTCCTGCACTTTGGATATACATCTTTTTACATAAAACAAGTGCTTTTCAAAATGACCGGCCACGTGAGCACATGTACGATACCAGGATATGAGAAATGCACTGGGAAACGCAGGAAAGAAAAAAAAAGTCAAGCAACTGGAAACCAATAATTACTCTTACTAGCAGTCCCCCTCAGGACTTCAAGGGACTGTTCCCAGTATCAAAATACCGGTATCATAGAACCATGAGGGGCTTTTCATGAACCCTACTGTTTGAAAACCTAAGCCTCATCTCCACCCTTTTGAAAATTCTATGGGGAAGAAAGAAAAAAGAAATTTCCTTAACCCCCCCGCCCCGATTCCTATAAATACAGCCACCCCCCTCCCCCACCAAATCCTCTTCTTTCCTCTCCATGGACTTTGCATCACAGTTGCGGAGGAGCTCCGGGACTGTGAACGACAGCTAGAGCTCCTGCCCCGCCGGGAGCGTCCCGGTTCCCACGAGCAGTATCATCTTTTACCATTGCCAACAGTGAGCAATAGGTAACACGCCTCGAAAGGAGCCGTGCCTGACATGAAGGAGTGATGCTTTAGACCATGGTTTGATATGGTGGGTTTTTTTTCGTAAAAGAAATGGCTATCATCAGAGGATGGCTCGTGGGACCCCAGCGTGGTTGACACCTTGACGTGGTGCTGGGGCTTTAAAACTAAGATCAACCGTCGTAGACTCGTGGAGTTATGATACAGTATAAAACTCTAGAGACCCAAAGGCGCCAGACAGATACACCGAGTGACGTTCCATGAACCAGTAGTGCTCCGTCCAGTTCAAATTCTCCCCGGAAGTGTCATTATGGCATGTCCTGACCGAACGATGATTGATGGGCGTTGTCCCCTTCACCGAACGGTGGTCATAAGGGGGTATATTGACAATTTCCAACCTCTTCTACACCCCCCCCCCCCTCCCCCCCAACACCATTACTATGGCGTCAAGCATGGGTCTGTCGACTAAGGGGGAGGAAACAGTCAAACTATCGCAGAGCAGTTCTAGGAAATCATCAACTTGGAAATAGTCCTGGCGCACTAGGGTGTTAGATGATCCAATTAATGCAGCGAAATGGTGACGTTGAGAGGCGGGGAGGACGCTAGATCCGGTTGATTGCGAAATCTGCTGTACTTCCGGGACTTTACAGAAGGCTGAAGAAAGGCGGGCCTGTGAGCCTACGCACGGTTATGAAGCGGGGGTGCGGTTCCTGGTAGTAGGTAAACATCGGTACGATGCCTCCTCGTTGGTGGGTTTAGCCTTTTAGTGGGTGTATGTGGTCCCCCTGCTCCGGGGTATTCATATCTGTATAGTGTGATCGGGGGCCCTGGATAGGCTTGCATTCTTGAGTATTTTCCGAATGGGCCGCCAGATTCCTTCAACTGCTGTCCTGAAAACAACCCTTGGGTTCTTTCTAGATACAGATCAGTCTCCCCTTGCAACCCGCCGTGATGGGGAACTAAGACAGTTTAGAGTTTAAAAGAGAATTCAGCAACCCATAGCACTATTCGGGAACTTGAAGGTATAGGAAAAATGGCATGGATTAAGTGGAGATGTTTTGTTTTGGGTTTGTAGCAATCTTATCATTTGTGGTGGCATATGTAGGGCGGTCGGTAGTGAAAGGCTACGGTGCCGGAATTCGGGCCTTGGGGGAAAAAAGATTGGGAAAACGAAAGGATACAATAGATCGCGCCGGGCCTGACTCGATCGCTTTCATAAAAAGTCCTTGTGGACCAGGTTGTTTAGATAGTACACGACCATTGGAACGGACGCGCTCGACCAATAGTACTCTTGGTAGACGATACTGTTATACTATTTGATCTAGGGGATTTATCGTATGTGTGCTCAAACGGACGTGATAGGTCATCGAGGATTCCAGCATTTCTTTGCTCCCAAATTCTTCAAGTGGATAGTATGACACCCCGAATTTACAAGTGAGTGATTTCTTATGATGGATAAGAAAAACGGCCATCAGGATGATATCTTTTCAGTCACATGCAAAGGGAAAGGGGGCTCTCTCTCTCAATTCGGTTCAACTTAGCGCGTTTGTCTATACAAGGTAGAAACCATAGGAAAGAAGTTGAGAAATAAATAATTAAAGATCGTTGGCTCCAAACACTATGATACTATGCACAGAAATGTTCTCCGTTACCGATGGCCTATATTTTGAGGGTTTGCCGGTTACCCTACTGTATTACCCGCAGGTCGTCATATCCGCTACCCCGCCGCCATCTCCCCTTCTGTCACCGGCAGATGCCCAGTGTCCCTTACGCTCTTTAGGAGAAAAACAGGTAACAGTCCTCTGATAGGCTGTGCCGCCAGGGCGCTTATCGTTGAGAAGGCTGATCTTCGCAAGGAGTATCATCCCGGAACCGGGAAGCGGTGCAGATGTACAGTGCCGTATGATACATAGAAGTGAAACATCTTGCATGTGAATTTTGCTCAAATCTCGACTGCAGAGTTTTGGAAAGTATTAGACTTAGGCTCGTGACTCGAAGGAGGTGGATCTGACGCGCTGTACGAGTACTATAGTAGTTACTCGAGTATAGTATCGGGGAGATCTAACTTCCTCTCATACTCTTGCGAATCTTCTCCCCTCGAGTTAGTGTTGAGCGTTCGTTGAGATTTCCGGGCTCCCGCTATTTTTATCGCTGAGCCGGTTCGTGACCAGCCTGGCCCGCTTCCCGATGAAGGCTGGACACACTGAGATATCGTGCGGAGGTATTATACTACAGTATGGCCATCCAAGGTATGATATAGTACCGTATCGACTTATGCAGGTCCCGTCGGCGATTAGGTTCGTCGGTCCGCACATGACCTTCCGTCCCTCCGCCTCATGTGATTTCCCCCGCCCCCATGCCTGGACATTCGTAGAATCGATAGCTAATGAAGAGCGGTGCTCCAGCCTCGAATAGCTAACCAAAGTTTGACTTTCACAGCCGGTCTAGAATATATTGTGGACTAAACATAAGGGCCTCGAATCTGAAGAATTATATATATGTATGATATCATAGGAGTAGGAAGGAAATATATGAGTAAAGATATGCAACAGCCGCCGCTCTCCCCAATTTCTCCGGGTCATCTGACTAGCTTTTTGTAACAGGGGAAAGCCCTTTCACCCTCGGCTCTTTCAGAAATACCGGTCCTCCTTTCATATAATGCCGCTCATTCATGCCAATGCCCCGGAAACACGAATCCTCCATTCATGCCATTCCTTTGTCATCTGGGAATATCAATCCTCTGTACATTCTTAACCCCACATTTTTCACATACCGGAATAGCCGGGCGTCCGGACCGGAAAGGAAAAACGTAAACAGTGCATCAAATCCAAGAAAATCTTATATCTTGCTATACGGCCTCTCGATGGGCCCCCCGCACTCTGCTTACCACTACCGCAACGACAATCCGCAGCCCTTGAGCACGCACCAAACAGTTAAAGAGGGCTACGCTACCGGTACTCGTACCGTATATATCGAGAAATAGTTAGACGCCGAAACACTCAACTGCAGCGCTGGGGTGACGTAATTGACGGCAGCGGGAGCCTTTTAGAGCGTCGGTGGTTCAAATAGACGGGCCGCATGCCCCGCATACTGTACCTATATACCTTAGTTAACGCCCACTCATTCGAGGGTTACTCGGGCAGACCTTGAAAGACGACTTCCCGCCCGCTCCAAAGTGTTGCGGTCATGCTGGGGTACCGCGATGAAGTCTCGAGGGTGCGCATTCCCTACTGCAAGAGGACCCTATAGCATGCCCTCGCCAACGGCCACCTTGAAGGCTCGTGAAACGAAGGCCGCACACCGTATACTCCAGCGGAATCTCGGCGAGACAGTGAGGCGCAAGGGCGAATCGAGGTTGAGGTAAAGTGCAAACCCCTGTTCACTGCAAGTTTAAGCTGCACCAAACAACCCCTGCGTTTCCGAAAAAACCGCCAAGACCATCACACCCGAGCGCGATTTGGTCCAACCATATTGTCATACGAGCACGGCACAGTACAATGCGGTAGAAGAGATCTAACTTCTCTCGAACTCCCCCCCCCCCCTCCAGCACCACGTCAACGAGGAAAATCTTCGAGGAATCTCACTCACCTCCCCCTCCCCTGTCCATACCGCACGAGAGCTTTCTATTCACCCGCCACCGCCATCGATAGGGAAGGAACAAAATATATAAATAAAATCTTATCCATAAGCAGGCAAGTATATCCCTTACTCATTGTACTCATTTCGGCGAATACCACCGCCGCCACCCGCGTCCTTCCATCTTTTCCCCCGGCTAATAATACCTCTTTCCCCCTCTCCTCCCTTAGATCAACTTAGCTCAGCTCGGGTCAGAAGCCTAATCCCCGGGTTCCAACGTTCGAGCCTACCCCCCCTCATTGCTCAATTCTTCCTCTTGAGGCTATTGTCGGTGTTTGAGGAAGAAATCAGAGGAGAGCCATGGTAGCGATAATGCCTTCCTCGCAACAGCAATACCCGTCCTCCGGTTCCACAGCCCAACCTACGAACGTCTACACCGCCGGCCTCCCCGCGCCCCCCCGCATACTAATCCCCCCACCGACCCTGCACCCAGAGGTGCGGAACTTTGAACACCTCAGAACCCACAGCAGCAACGGCGGCGCCTCCAATGGACCCCAACTCAACACTAACAGCAGCGATACCGATCACATGATTACCCCACCTGGGTCCCTGATGACGCAAACAACGCTGCAAGACTGGAGATATGAGTCGCGTCGGGAAGCCCAGCAGATCCTACCACACCTCTGGCTGGGCCCGCTCTCGGCCGCGAGAAACACGACCTTCATCGCGGCGCAGAACATCACCCTCCTCCTCGCCGTCCGCTCATCGATGACGGCGAAGGCCAAACTCCTGGCGAACCAGCTCCCTGGAATCCGCTACGAATCCATCGATGTCTCCGGCAACCAGGAGCTCATCGCGCAATTCCAGCACGCGACCGACATCATCGACGAACACTATTTACAGGGGCTACCATTGCACATTAGGCAGGCGCTCCCGCTCCCGCTCAGTGGGAAGGACCTGTACGCTTTCCAGAAACGCTACCCAACCGAGCACCCTGGGCAGCCTCTACCGCAGGGGGGTAGGACGCTGCTATTCTGCGAGAGCGGGAATGAGAGGTCGGCTTCCGTTGCTGCAGCGTACGTGATGCAGCACCTTAGCGGCTCGGCGGTCCAGGCGATACAGATGGTGCAGAGTCGCAGGTTTTGTGTTTGCTTTGATGACCCCATGAAGTGGTTGCTCACCAGTTACGAGCCCATATGGATGGCCAGGAGGCAGGCTGCGCGTCAGAATGGAGCGGGCTCGGGCGTCAATAGTGCTGGACAGCACGGGGACACTCGCGGTGTCGCCCTGTCTAGGGGTGTGAACAAGAGAAGGCTGGAGGAGTGCGAAGAAGAGCAGGGAGACACGAGTTCGCACAAAGCCCAATACCATGCACCCTTCTCGGATGGGGACGCAGGCGCCAATGAAGGGGACATGGAGATGACTTGAGCCTTCCAAACACATATCCATTTCGTTTATGGCATTGATTTTCCTTCAACCTCGGATTTTTTTTTTATCTCCCCAAAACATAAAACTGAAAACATAAGAACTGACAAATGGGCACGGTGGGGCCTCCCATCTACACCCCCTCATAATCTCCCCCTTCTTACTCGTTCCTTCATTTCGCTCTCCTCCTTTCGTTTATTCATATATCACATGGAGGAAGTCGTTACCCGCGTATTTCGGCCCATTTTGAGATACCTCTTGTTTTTGTTGTTCATCGTCGTTTTAGAACGGATATTTGACGGGGGGGGGGTTTCTGTACGCCTTTTTATTGTGATGGAGTAGTTTGTATTATTACATTCGGTGGCTGTGGTTGCAGAGTTTTAAGTAGCGCGATAAGATTGCATACTTCAATTGCTCCGAGGTGGTTTCCGCGAAATTCGGTTGCGGGAAAGCCCAGGGAATCACAGTCGATCACTCGGTATTGTGTAACAAACAAGGGCGAAGGGTGAGGTTAACTTACCGCCGCGACCAGAGGCACCCATTCAACGTCCACTCGAGTACACGGTTGGCATTTGTTTACATGACGGCTTTCAAAATATCCATGCCGGTGTGGCCATCTATACTGTTGAGATTGATGCTGAAACCATGATGCACACCTACAAAACTGAAGCTCCCTGGCTCCGACCCATTGTAGCACCCCAAACCATCCCACCGAACCGGACCAGACCGCCGCTCGAACCCCAACCAATTTACTCATGAAAGGGAAACCGAATATGATGAAAAAAAACAACAACTATGACACGAGATGTTTCTGAAAAACCAACGAGAATGGAAAACAGGAAACTAAACTCCTGATAAAGCAACCGGGAATAGAAGAAGGAAGGAAGAAAGGAAAAGCCTATCTAGTAGACTAAGCGAAATATATACCCACCGAATCCCCCCCCCCCCCCCTCCAGTCGGGTCGCCCCCATATATTTCTCTCCTCTCGCATGCTCCCGTAGCTCCGGGACACAGCATCTCCACCAATATTACTATCTTTCCATACACCCTGCCCCTCATCCGGCAATTCGGCTCTGAAGCCTCTGTCCTCTCTCGCACTAGCTTCCTCCTCTTCGTCCTCGTCGTCTCCGATTTCAAGCCTGTCCTTCCTTTTATCACTTTTTTCCAGGCCAGTCATTGAGGTATTGTGGGGGGCGAAGCCCTCTCTTATCTCCTCGCCCATATGCTCGTCTGGATATACCCTGACATATCTCTTTTGTTCGGTCTCGTTCCAGCCTGGACCTCCTTCTTTCCTTGCCCTTACTCTTTCAATTTCTTCAGCCTCCGTGTCTTCCACTACCAAATCCACTAGTCCGCTTCTATCGGAAAAGTTTGTGGAAGAGGATGATGCCGATTTGTTACGGTTCAACAAAGGGGCTTTTGATGGAGACTCAACACCTTTCCCTTTTCCAGAATGGTGTTTCGGACCTCTGGTGTTCAATTTCGGCCGTAACAGAACTTGATTCGTTGCGGTCGTTGTGACGGCTGGGCCAGAAGGGAAAGGCGTATAACGGCAACGATGGTTTCTCCATGGCTCATGCGCAGTGATTACCGGATACTAGATGAACCGGGGTTTTAGTGACGTAAGCGTGGAGTGAAAGGGTAGGGATTAATATGTACGTTATAGTCGCCATATTCCAGTTTCCTTGCAGCATCATAGAGGTTCTCATCATCTTCGTCAATCTCTGTTTCTTGGAGTGCACCATAGTCTCCTCCTCTCCACTTCCTGTTATCCCCTCGCTCTACTTCCCCGGCACTGATACTCCTCGAGCGATCGCTCGGGCCAGGGGCGCCAAGCAAACCGGTTCTGGCCGTGGGCTTAGGGATCCAATACTTGCCCTTGCCGCCTCTTTCGTACCTAAGACCATCCATCATTCTTGCCACTCGTGCACCGGATTCTGGATGTGCCAATACGTTTTCACCGGGGTCAAAGAGGCGGTATTCATACCCTTTACCGCCAAAAGTGGCTTTCGAATCTTCGATGAGATCACGAATGCCAAATGCGTCACGGAAGGCAAAGTAGACGGTGAGCCTGGCAGCCGAGATTGTGTGATCCGCGTAATCTTTCCATGAAAACGCATACCAGTGAGCTATAGCAAACCCTGGGAGTTCAAAACATATCAAGACATCTTGGATTGCACGGGCAATATTGTCAGGAGTGTAGTATCCAACATCATGAATCACCCCTAACCACACGAGGATGGATAGGAAGAATCCTTGCCAATAAGACGCAAAGATAATAAGCTTTACACAAAGGAACTGATTGGAGTATAAGTGTAAGCAATCGGCGAGTGCTACAGTCAATGGGCCAAGAAAGCTTTTACCTTAGGAACCGGTCTAAACGGCTGCAAATCCCGAGACATACATACCCAGAACATGCCCAACGAGTAAAGACTGAGAGTAACGGACAGATTATAAATGATTCCGCTCCAAAAGTAGCCACTTTTGAGGCCTACGTAGCCCTCCTGATATGTCCCTGTCGCCTTCATGACGATGGAGGCGAGCGCGAGGACAGGTTTCATCCAGGCATACTGCAAAATACCCCGTTTCACTGCCAGAAAGGTATGCGGGTCACTGATATCGACCTTGGGCAAGATATAGTTCATTGGCCAAAGATGTTCTATCGGTGCTCGCCCATGCATCATGATGATCAGCGATCGCTCCCCGCCCAAGAAATTGATGAGTAGCTGGAAGAAGGTGTAGATCGTAAAAGCCTCGTATACGTCACGGATTGGGTCAACAAAGAAAGCGACCTTGAGTGAAATAAGTGATACCCAGGAGGATATAGCGTAGATCGGGACCATGAGAAGAACACGCACGACGTAACGCTGTAGGAGGGGCTTCCGGTAGTTTTTCCTATAGTGATGGTTAGCTGGGGAGTAGGAACAGCAGGGTAATGGCTACTGTACAGCTGAAGCCATATTGAGCTATCCAAGGCAAATTGCGGGCGGAATAATTAGTCTTGTCTATAACTGTTTTAAGGGTCAGGAGGATTACAAGCAAGATAGCAATGTAGCTACAAGAGAAGCTGTGCCAGCAACGGTAATCGCAGCCCGACCTATTCACCGGGAGCCATTGTTAGCTCATCTGCTGGGCAGGCTGTCCTGTTACGAAGGTAAGGCTATAGGTACTCAGTTTCGAGGTCCCACTTCCCCCGGGATCGAGGCCTTCGGTTCCAGCGTGCATGCCGGTAGTGGACTGAGGTTGACGAGAACTCCTGAAAGTGGCCGCAAAGGAGTATCGAATGTCGGCACCGGAGGGGGCAGTATCTGAAAGAAGCTATTCCGTTATCTGGAAGTGGGGATGACCATGGCGAGAAGGTCTCGTGCGTTCAAAATCTAGGGTTTGTGGGGGCGGGGGCACCAGAGGAGCAATAGTCTAACTGTGCGGTATGATACGAGGAGGCGCGTTTTTGAGTGCAGACAATTGGTGATGAATTACACTGTATACAGGGTAATTTTGGTACTGCTCTGGAGCCTCAAACGTCATTCGTTTCTGGCGATTGAATACCGGTAAGCAACACATACCACAAAGCAATTTAGCCCTAACGGTCGGCCCGAACGAGCTTTTCTTGGCAGTTGCCGATTGCGAAGCCTTCAGATGATGATGGTACTATGAGTAGACTACACATGATAGAAACGGGGTGCCCGTGGGAGATGACGGACCCAAGTAACCACCAGTGCTGTATGATGATAGTCTAGCCCGTAGAAAGAGGTACGGAAGAGCCCGTAGAAAGTGCAGCAGAGTACCCGTGCTGTACATACCCTCCAGTACTAGTACTTGAGTACCAGTTAGCCTCCGTATTTCTATTTCTCCTTTGAAGCTGCTGATGCCATATGGCTCCGGGTCCTGGAAACCGCCCCAGGCTCATTTCTCAAGTGATGACTAATCCACTTTTTATGGGCAAGTATACCTGATTGAACAGGAAAACACCATGGCCTAGCATGTCGGTGTTTCTCCCTGGACGATAGAATAATACCGGATCCGCAAGGAACTTGTCTTAAAATATAGATTAATCACGGCGAGAAAACTTGTATCCTGCATTTCTCGGAAAGCGGGCCCTCTTCTATGACTTATATACTGTCGAAGATGAGCAGCCAACTCTTGAAGTTCTATGGGTAATGGTAAAACACAAGAGCCTGGATGTGTTAGAGGCTGGAGGGCAAGAGAAATACCTGTAGTCTAGCGGTAGTGTGGCAGAGTCACTCGGGCAAATACTCGCCGTTACTCTGTGTAAATTTGCCTGCGGATATCTGGTAGACTCTGCATAATCCAATCTGCAGCGGGCATGATACCTCCTCTGCGGCCGTTTTTTAACCAGAGAGCTTCTTCGAAGGCCCGACTTTGGGCAAGCTCCCACACCTTTCAACCTGGACACCCCTTGGATGTCACTCACGTTCATGTTTTTTGCGTTGTAGGCCTGTTAGTTGGGCTTGCCTCCGTGCAGAATCTCAACATTTTCAAAGGGGTATGCTCGGTCTGTTGGCTATTCCTTCAGAAGATCAATGAAGAGTTATGATACTATACGAGTACAAATCAATAGACAGATGATAGAGTTGCCTCGGATGGTTGTCCGGTCGTCGCGGCCGGAATCTCCCGACAGCTGGGAGGTTAGGGTTCTGTGGGACCGTGGCACTGCGGCACCATGCTTGGTGCTGGGGCCGGATTTTCGCTCCACGTGATTCGAGCCTTTCTTGACGCACGGGCCACGCGAGGCAACGTTTATATTTAAGTACGGCTACCGTATGTTGTTCCAAAGGTTGTCGCATCGCCTTGCAATGCTGTGGGAAACTTTGCTCGACAAAAGGTCCTAGAGCTTCACCTTGTGTTATATCCTATTCTCTACGGCATCCTTTTGGCATAGCTACTAGGTGCTGCAGGTATGGAAGCCCCAATCCCCAGCTTCAACTGGTTTGTTTCCCCTCCTATTCGCATTCTCTACGTGTTTGTTCGATGTCAACTTTACTGATCAGCTTGCAGGGTCTTCCTAGTTGAGCTTTTGGTTTGTGGTGTTGTGTAGGAGCCCCAGGTCATCCTTTCTTGTCGGGAGTGGCCGCTAACGGGCTACTAGCACTCTTTTTTTTCTCTTCTACTTCAACCGCGCGTTTTCTAAGATACTTTCGCTCCTTGTCCGGATCTACCTTAGGTGGAAGGGCCTGCCACACTATATCGACATACAGTCGCTGCAGATTTCGCTTCTTGCTGGAAGGATTTTTTTTGGGAGAGTCACGTATCATGGTCCGAACGAAACTATCGTATTCGTCGGCGGGCAGCTTACTTGGCGTTACTGGTTGCGGAGGGTGCGCCATGTTACCGTTGGAATTGGTGATAGGGGGAGGGATGCTTCCGAGAGTGGGGTGGGGGGAAGCTCGAAGACCGAAGGGCATCCATGTAGAATTCTGGTTGAGCTCAAGGGGCTTGAGTGGTTCATCTACAATCGTAGTCCGGCGTATGACTACGTGATGGAGCAGATGGCACAGGCTGGGGCGGGGCCGGATAGTGGAAATGCCCCTCGGGGGGACCACGGCGGAGATCTCGGGGGGCAATTTGACGCAGCGGAATCTCACGGTGAGGATACTTCGACTCTAAAGGGGTCAAGGTCCAAAGCTCAAACAGAGTCCACATCGGCCAGACGTACCTCCATAGGATCGTTGATGGGAGAAAACGGCCATACAGGGGAAAGGTTGACGAAGGACAAAAGCATGGAAGAGGAGAAGTTAACCGTAATGCTACGGGTGCTACCGATTAGAATCGAAATCAATCGAGGGGCAATCGTCATGGGGAATAACAATGTGCCAAGTATTCTGGTTGCTCATTTCGAGAAGGCTGGTGCATATATTGACGCTACTATGGTATGTAAACATCAAAATTTTGGTTGAAAGTATTTTAGCGCTATGTGTTTCCATTTAACTCTTTAACGCTCTACTTTCGATGCTAGGCATAAGGAGTAAGTTTCCTTGCTAATAATATGCTATCATAGTCGCAACCTGTCGATAAATATAAGCAGCTATTTACCTTCTCGTTTACACATCCTATAGTTGAGATGAAAACCAACAGAGATTATAAAGAGTCACTGAGTTCACGTGGTTCCAGGCTTCTCTCCAGCGACAGTCAGGGTTTAAACAGGGAGCCACATGCGCAACGTAGCCGCCGGCAAAAACTCCGTGACCTATTGCCGTTATTTAGCGAATCTACCGAATCATTCACCCCTTCAGTAAAGCCTAAGTCCGAGGCAAAGAAGCAGCAGGGTGGGGGTATTGGAGCTGAACAGGGCAAATGGATGGGTCTGAGCAGGTATCTGGACGAGTCGCAACAAGAAGAAAGGTGGAAGGTTGAACCAGTGGAATATGCGAAAGTAACAACCCTGGTGGACTGCCCCTCGGGAAGATTGAGCCTTTACTGGGATGCACCGGGGCCTGTGCCACCTCCATCTACGGCGTCTACTTCAGGTACTGCAAGGGCGGAAAATGGGCTGGGTGAAGATATCAACGGTTCTCAGTACTCGCCTCCAGCATGGGGCGTCGACTTGGCATTTGACGGGGGCACAATTCACTATGGCCCTTGGGCAGACCGGCAAAGGGTTTTTCTGCAAAACATGTTTTTCCCTAGGGTTTTCAAAACCTCGACTCCGGCGATGAGATTGACTCCGGGGCAAGACCGTGTTCCTACAAAGTTTAGGTTGTTTGTGGAGCTATCAAGCTCAACGATCTTGAGGGTTCCAACTAGGGAGGAAAGCAAAGATGAGAAGTACCGGCGCCGAAGGAACGATGGAGAAGCGAGGCCATTTGGTTGGGTTGAGGTAAAAGTTGGCCCAGAAAGTACCATAAGCTACGATATGTCTATGGTGCCCGGGAAGGAAGGGTGGGTCAATAAACTGAACCTGGACTTGAAAACACCAGAGGTCAGGTCGAGTGTTAACCACGGTCTTTTCTGGAAAGCGGACAATCAGTCTCTTGAGTGCGATCTTAGCGGGCCCTTAAAGTGGAATGCAAAACACGTATGGAGATTTGATGTTCTATCTCGAGGGCTAAAGTTGTTTATTCTCCGGGAGCATGTTACATTACTGACTGATCTTATTGGCGATTGGTCCTCTGGGCCACCCACAGAATACTTGACCTTCACACCATTTGTCTATGAGATTGGATTGAGGTTCGAGGATACCTATGAAGTTTGCGTGAACGTCAATGACCAGAACATCATTAATAACCCAAGCGATTTCGAGGACAATTCATTCATAATACTCCACGGAGCCGGAGGATTACGGGCTAGTTTAGCGCTGGATATGACTAGGTTTAGGCCGGATGACAGTACGGTGGTATTTGATGTTTGGCTCGATGATTCTGGCGGACAGAAAAATAAGTTGGAACTGGGGGTGAGGCAGCCGGTTTGGAATACCTGGAATAGCTTCTTGGGGTCGGAGTTGGGGATGAAGTTAGGGAGTGTTGAAGCACTGAGGCTTAAGGGAAGCTATAATTTCTACTCGGCTGTTGAACCGGGTCTAGTTGATACCCTCCTCTTGGATATTATAGGCGCAGGCTTGAAATTGAAGTTATTCGGGTTCCTGATTCGATACTTCCTAATAGTAAGGGAGAATTACTTTGGAGAGAATTTACACTTCAAGACACTTGAGGAATGGCAAAAGCAACGAGCGGAGGGTGGAACGCTTGCCCTTGCGGATAACGGAGCGGCTGTAAAGAATAACGATCTGGACGTGATTCTTAATGTGGACTCTAAGGATTGTGCTGTTGTATTACCAAAAAGGATCTATGGTGCTGAAGAAGGGCTTGAATTAAATATGGCGGTTGTGGGAATGGATATGAGATTCACGAACTACTACATGGGTCCGTATCTTGACTCCATCTATCTATTACGGATAATCTGACTGGTTTTATGTCTACAGATCTTCAACTGGACCTTAGCCCAATATCCGCATCAGTTACGGGCTCCCCCCATACTTCACAGTTGTTTGTCGATGGACTTACGATATATGGTCACCGATTGTTTGGACTCCCGCCAACTGAGCCCACTTATATATGTAATTGGGATATTGGCGTTGGCGCAGTCGTGGGGGAATGTACCACTGGATTCCTTCGTACAACTGTATCTGCGCTTAAAGCTTTCATATTTGCGTTCGAAGATGTCGAGAATGCTCTACCTATACCGCTAGGGCACACTACAGCTATCCACGATGTTACCTTCGTTAGACTAAACGTCAAGGCCATGCAAATATGGCTTCATCTCGACGATGGCCCATTAGCATTCCGGATTACTAGCGGTGAAATAGCTTTCATTTTGAATGATCTGGCGAACGAAAAGCATTCCGAACGGATATCATTGTCGCTCCCTGATTTGACAATGGCTTGTATTGATGTTGGGCGAGATGCAGGCGAAGCAGAGACGAGAGGGTATCTCGAGACTTCCTTAAAAATGACTATATTCGAAAGGAAGAAAGAGTTCTCAAAACACCGCAGTTCTCAAATGAAACATGTTAGAGAGAGCGATTATAGAACAGGAAGGGCGAATTTTCTTTTAAGGGATGATTTCGAGGGCATTGGAAGTCGGGGGAGCAGTCTCTATAATGAAGACATGGACCGAACAGAACCTACTCTTCCGTTGCCTGGGCTGCCTACGCCTATCCGTGGTTTGTACTCTATGCCAGATTCCTTACAACAAAAAGCTTACCCATAAAAGTATTGGACGATGAGAGATTTAGGATATTTGAGGGGAGTTCGATTGATTGCGGAAAATCGTCTCGAGTTACAACGAGCTCAAGAAGTAAAAATTCATTTCTCGCCTCAACAGGGTACGAGACTCCCTCGTATGTTCCTTTAGCAAAATACATCTACCTAACTTTCTCCCAGGTCTGCAGGTCGGGCAGCAAGTAGTCGCAGAGCAGCGAGCTCACATGCTCCATCATTCCATTCAGCAGTAGAGTCTTTTTCAGACGCACCCTCCCCCGTGCCAGATACGCGAAGTTTCATTCGGACACCAACATTGACTACATTGGGATCGCAAACACCTAAACCATCATCTACTCCTCGAACATATTCTAATAGAAGTATTCGAAAGCCCGCATCTGGGGTCCGATTATCAAGTCCGTTCGCTCGGCCGAATTTTCCGTTGGAGGCCATAGAGCCCAACTTAAAGAATGTCCCGATATTTACTAGTAGGAGTGAGCACAGTGTGGAGGATGAAGCAGGGGGTTCATCGGCCTTTGCCGAGACATTTGTTGATGAAAAAACGGCTCACAAAAGTGTCATGGTTGAATTTACGCCTGGAATCAGAGGTCATTGCACGGCGGTTGCTATCAAGGCTGTGGCGCAGCTTTTGGATTGCGTACAGGCAAAGGTAGGTCATATGGCGTTCGGGTTTGCTTATTACTAATACTATATGCAACAGACCCCCGAGGGTATTCTGGACGCTATCCAAGAGGATGTTATTGAAAAGCTTGCCGGCCTTGCCCGCCCATCCAACGACTCAAAGATAATCGAGGTCTGCTTAAAGATCCCCCAATTCAAGTTCTGCTTCATCAATCCGATACCTCAACAGATTTCCAACGGTGCCCAGAGCTTGAATGACCAGAAGCCAGATGAGGACTCTTTTGATCTTGAGCTGAGGGGCTTCTTAGTTGCGGCTAGGTCGAAGGCGATATTCCCTGAACAGAGTCCGGGCTCTCTGGAGATTAATTCAATAAAACGGATTTTTTCGATTCACCTTCTCTTGGATGGATTAGAGTTGACATTGAAACAACTATTGGCTGGGTCCTCCGACCCGTTTACGAAGCCAGCGTTGGGCATTCTGGTAGAGGATTTGCTTTTCTGGGCCTCCACACATGAAGCCTCTAACGCATCTCTACAAATCGAAAACGTTGTATCCTCACTACAAAGCAAACAGGCGCTGTTCTTATACGACGCTATTGTTCGGACTGTTCCTCTCATTGAAGATATTGAACAGGCATTCGGCGCTCTCTCTGGCGAGCGCGACCGGATGCCGGAACTTGCTTATCGGCTGGCCGTTGCGGGCGCTGAACCTAAGCCGGGAGTAATGAATGATCCACCCGCACTAACTCGTCCATCATATGTACTTCGTTCATCGTTGGATCACGTGCGTGTTCACGATTCTTGGAAGGTTATGTCCAGGATGCGCCATATTTTTCGATCCCTTTCGGCAACACACAGACAAGGTGTGGACAGGCAATGCATTGGAGACGTGGGAAACTGTCCTCTTGATGCAAGGCAACAGGTAGTAGAAGCATTCGAGAAATGGCGGAGCTGGGAATTGGCAAATCTAGAGCATAGCTTCGTGATCCGAGCTATATTCGGGAGTGATCCAAAAGAGGTTGGTGGTATAATTCTCCCGGGTACTACGAAAGCTCGAGTCGTGCTAGTAGGCGTAAGGTTACTTGTTGATCCAGGCCCGATGCAGTGCGAATTCTCTGTTCGCAATATTTCTGCTGCTGTTTCGACAGGTAGCCCCAAAGAGAGCAACACGGGCGGGCTCTTGACAGCGGAGTTAGGCCCGAGCATATCAGCGTCGGCAATGGCGCAAGTCCATTGCCGCAGTATTGAATTATCCCTAACTTGGGAAATTTTGGATATCGTGGAGGGACTAGCAAAAGCTCTAGCGAGTCGTGGGGGGGACATAAAACCCCGTTCGCCTAGCGAATCTCCTCTCGAGGCTTCAGGTGCGACTAGAAAAAAGAAACCAAGCTTCCATCTTCTTTGGACCGTGGATACCGGATCGATCTCTCTGGATACGGTAAATCTTAAGAGTTTCTCGATAGCTTACGGAGTGCAAGCCTCACTATTCGTCTCGGGGCAAAGAATGGAGCTGCAAGATTCCTTGGCTGGTAGTGCTCTATTAAGGGCAGATCTCGTGACTTCAGAGTTAAGTTATACTGGCAAAATTTTGAGCTTGGCAAAAGCACACAAGCCAAGCCTTTACGGCCACTTCGATGAGCACAGTTTGGCTGTGACTCGGTTTAATATCTGGAAGATCGCGGGTTCTTGCGGAGCCATATCTTTCAATGTCAAGGAGGAGGTTTTAGGACTTATGGAAGTCATCGATGTCATAGTCAACGACGAGCTCTCGCAGATATGGAAGCTCGTTGAGGAGGTGAAGCATATAAATCCAGCCACAAACTCGTCACCAAAAAGCCCTTCGTACTTAAAGAGGACTATTCACGTCGTTCACCTGACACTATCGTTGGAGGATTTCAGTATTGAGGCTACTCTTCTACCATCTTTAGCTTATCTAATGCATGGCAATAGTGTTAGGCTCTCCACCCGACCTATAAATGCCGCCGAGGAAATGATTATTGATTTCGATGTTCTTCGTCACGAGCACGAGATACGGACAGGTTATGACAGGCAACGGACGAGAAGAATATCGGCGTTGCAGATACCTGCGATTAATGGCCGAGTTAGGGATTGTATTTCTGCTGAAGAACGGCTGTTGGAAGTTTTTCTATCGGTGGAGGCTATTCAGCTTGACGCGTCTTCACTTCAGAGCTTATTCAATGCGCTCAACAAACCGGAAGTTTCAAACGTAATTGATGAAGCTAAGGCTGAATGGATTGGCACTCAAGCAAGACTTGGCGAGATATTCGGGCACTCCAAAGGTACTCACGCATCCCCGGTCAAATCCGGTGTGCCCTTAGTGTATCGTGCACACGCAGGCGTTTCCGGCTTGAAAATACAAACATCTGCCCCTTCCGCAAGTTTGGAGATCGATCTCGGCTCTATTCAGGTGCACGCCTCCAACAGACCTAAATTCGACTCAGATATACTTTCAATTCCCGAGATTCATCTGGAGTTCCGCAAGATTACGGTTGGGCTTAATCAAGTTAGCGCACAAGGGGCTCTGAATTCATGCGGATATGTTGAGCTCCATGCTTCTCTCCTTTTCTCAACTAAGAAAACTCCACGAGGAAAGCCCGTCAGAGCTTTCTTTATTAAGAGTCGCTCGCTCCGGGTTGATCTTTTTGCGGAGACTGCTTCGACAATCGTCGATGTCGCTGGACATCTTCAAGACAAGTTAAAGGATTTGGATCTTTCAAGAGAAGTCAAATATCTCAGGAAACTACGGAAATCGAAGCCACTCATGGCGGTGGACTATGCCGAAGCCGGTGAGAGTGGGATTGAGCTTTTTAGTTCTATGATCGCTGTTGAGATGATGGGAATCCAGGTGTCATGGATCGTTGGGAATTTTGGCCCCTCTCCCCCGGCCAACCATTCAAGGCAGAATCTCGTTTTGTCGTTCAAGCGGATTGATTTCGCTACAGCCACAAGAAAAGAGAACGAGGCGTGTCTTACGATTGAAGAATTTCTGCTAGAGGTGGTAGATTCGAATACCGAACGGAGACAGTCGGCCAGGTCTGGGAACTCAGCGCTCATGCCGAAGGTGATCTTCAATGCCGCTTATTTCGTCAATGAATCGGACCGGCGATTGGCAATCCAAGCTAAGGGCACTTCGTTAGATCTAAGAGTCACCTCTTCAGTTGTTCTCGCGGGCAGTGACCTTGAAAGTTCTATTGCCACAGCGAGTGAGAAGTTACGCCGCGCCTCGGCGACATGGAAGTCGACTCCAACTGAAAGCGGTGCCGAGAGGGAAAGTGTGTTCGGGACTAAAAGACTGGGCTCAGTTCTAGTAGATGCGGATTTTGCTGGAGCTGTGGTCCAAATTAGTAATGTGTCCGATTCACCCACGATTCCCGGGTTGTCATCCGCCCGAGGAGGGGCAGGATCTCCGCAGGGTCGTTACGGACAATTTGCTCATGGAGAATTAAATGGTACAACAATCCTTCGGTCTCCTGGACTGGCTTTTAAGGCTGAATATGTTGCGCCTCCGGACGAAGATCCATCACTAAATGCTGAGATTAAGGTCAGCGCTTCAAGCAATACTCTCTATCCTTCCGTAGTGCCACTGATACTGGAGATGACCTCCAACGTGAAGGAGGTAATGCGAGACCCCAAAGAAGCTGGGCTGGAGGATAAGCATTTGAAGGGGTCTCAGGGCGAGAAGGGATCTTCACCAGACCCAGCAGCGATTCTTGGACGTTGTAAACTCAACATCGGCTTGAGAATATGTAAACAGGAGTTTACCCTCAGTTGTCAACCAATTGCAAGAGTAGCGGCTTCTACTGAGTATAAAGAGATTTATGTTACCGTTAGCACCTGTGAGGACTCGGAAAGCGGACGTTTCTATGCCATTTCAGCCACTATAGCCGGATTGCGGACTTCAGTGCGCCATGTCTATTCAAGAGAATCTACCGGTTACCTTGAGGTTGAGTCTATGGTTGTTTCTTTAATGAATAGCAAGCACCTCAACGGATCTGAGGGTCTCTCATGCATCATGAAGCTCAGTCCAATGAAAGCCTTACTCAATGTCAAGCAATTCCAGGACTTCCTACTTTTCCGAGAGATTTGGCTTCCTGAAGAAATTCGTTCAAGCGCGCCTTCTCCGGTTGTTCCATCGTCAGAACCTTCTTCAATGCTAGTTCAAAGATATCACAAGGTTACAGCTACCAAAGCATTTCCATGGAATACGACAATGGCGATCTCGGAGATTGATCTACAATTGGACCTTGGTCAAGCGCTAGGGAGGACTGCTTTGCTTATTTCAAACTTCTGGGTCGACTCTCGGAAGACTTCTGATTGGGAGCAAACAATGTGCCTTGGATTTGACATGATACGGGTATCTGCTACTGGGCGTGCTAGCGGATTTGTTGATTTGAAAAATTTGAAAGCGCGGACCGCAATACATTGGCGTTCTGCTGCTGCTGATGACATCATTCGAGCTCCTCTTATTCAGGCTTCGTTAAGTTTTGAGCAGCTCCAGGTCAAAACATCCTTTGATTATCAAGCCTTTTTAGTTGCCGACATCACTTGCTTTTCCTTCCTCATGTACAACGTTCAGAAGGATAGTGGAAATGTGGGAGATCGGTTGGTGGGAGTGCTGGATGGAGATAAAGTGCATGTCTACTGTACGGCGCAGAGCGCATCCCAAGGTCTTGCGCTCTACCAAGCGCTTCTCCGGCTTGTTCAAGAGAAAATAACATCGTATGAAATCTCTCTGAAGGATGTCGAGAAGTACTTGAACAGGCCTCTGCAACCAAACCATACCTTCCCTGGGTCCCCTGGGCCCTCTGAAACCCCCTCTACTTCGATCCGCAAGGAAATACATCCGCTGCCGCCAGTCTTCTTATCGCTTCATACTGATGTTGTGGTAAGCCTCAAGGAGGTCAATATTGGTGCTTTCCCCAGCACCTTTTACGACAACCAAGTTTTTAAAATGGAGGCATTGAACGCTACCGCTAGATTTGCTGTGGAAGTGGAGGGCGAGAGGCTACATAGCAAACTGGAGATGACTTTGGGGGAACTTAGGATTGCGTTATCTCAGATCCGAAGAGGCGAAGTTCCGAGTCAGGATTTTACTGTAGAAGACATCGTGCGAAACTCCGGAGTCACTAGAGGTGGAACAATATTGAAGGTTCCTCAAGTCACAGCATTTATGCACACTTGGAACAAAGCAGGATCGATGGATATCGACTATATTTTTAAGAGCGCGTTCGAAGGTAAGGTGGACGTGGGATGGAACTATTCTAGAGTTAGCTTCATCAAGGGGTATGTGTTTTTGATCCTTGTCGTGTTTGTGCTAAGCTAACCCCGAAGTAATAGAATGTGGGCAACGCATGTCAAGTCCATGGCGCAGCGACAGGGAAAATCAGTGTCGAGCCCGCACATAACGATAAATACGGATGATTCGCCACCTCCATCTGAAGCATCGGGCGAGAGTGGGGGACCCGGGAAGAAAGAAAAGGGCAAAATAACTGCGGTTGTTAACGTTCCCCAATCTCGATATGAGTACCACGCTCTTGAGTCACCGGTTATCGAAACTCCGCAATTGAGAGATATGGGGGAGGCTACTCCACCACTGGAGTGGATTGGGCTGCATCGGGATCGTTTGCCCAACTTGACTCATCAAGTAAGCAGTACAATAATGGGATTTCAACCCGATCATGTTTTACTAGCGCTAATATCCTCATAGATTGTCATCGTCTCTCTCCTGGAGATTGCGAGGGAGGTTGAAGATGCATATTCCAAGATTCTTGGAACAAGTCGATTGGAATTATCGGCGAAGTAAGTTGTTGATGGGATATCCCTTGATGCGGTAGCTGTGTTTCAATTCTCGGGTTGTACTTGATTGCCTTTTTTCCTTTTTTCCTTTTTTCCTCATTTTCAACCCAGTGTTCTTGTTCATGCTTTGGAGTATTTAGCGCATGGCGTTGGCTTCTATTCTTTTTTCTTTTTTCTTTTTTTTCTGTATTTTCCATTATGGACTTAGTTTTCTTTGTGATAATTAATGGGTGTGATTACCTCAGCTTCTGCACAAACTGTCGTTGGCGCTAACCCCGGGGCAAGAATATCGATACGCTGTATCATGATCTGGTGGCTCATGGTGGAATATGGCCTAATCATTCGATAATCCTCCCTATATAATATACTGCCTTCATCTCATTTGTACTCACCCTCTCCCTTCGCGTATCTCTGCCCACAATGATTAACCCTTTGCAAGCCATATGACTGCGATTGTTAAGGTAGCCAAGAGCATTCTGTAAGATCCTCCTAGCTTGCTCAAGAGTAGAATGGCTCCGATCCATCATCTCCTTGCCAACCTCCTCATTCTCGGGCTGGTCTCTATCGGCCCCGCTCCGAAATGGGTGGACTAGCAACTACTGTACTTTACAATTCACAACCGCCACTGCCGCTCCCCACTATAGCGCCACGGTCCGGCCGTCCCCAGGGGGGGGCAAGTTGTCGATTAGCCGGCCGAGGGCAGTGGCCTATCGCAAGCGCTTGGGTGAGGATGGCCGCCAAAAAAGGTCGAAGCAGCGACCGGGGAATGTTGCCAGAAAGCTGTCAATTCCAGGCAGGTCCAGAGCACTCGACGAAAACATTGGTGGTTCCGAAACTTGCTTTCAATCTTGAAGATAAAGTTATGCGAACACGAACCGAACTTGATATAAATTTAGTTTTGAATCGAAGATGAATTTTCCCCGCCTGCGCTATATCTAAGTGGCAACCAAGGAAAGAATCCCCATCTATATAATTTACACTCTTTCTGTGTCAGGAGCAATTGCAACATACCATGATGAGGCAATATATCTATGGATCATAAAAGATCACATGTGTGTGGCACATGGCGGACACACATGCATACCGTATGACTTTACAAGAAGTAAAAACGTATAATTCACCACTCAGCAAATCTTCCGCGGGTAACTAATGATATATATACCTGCCTCGCTCATATCCTGTTATCACGGTAGGATCAGAACCACTCCATCACTCGTTCCAGTCCGGGACACCCATCCGGTTGGCGAATGGGTGCCAGGCCCCTCCTCCCCATCAGTATGGAGGAGGTTATCATCATAACCCATTCGCATGGAGACTGCGTAGTACTGTACACAACGGTTATTCACGGTATCATAGATATAGAACATTTCGCTCGAAGCAGGTGGTACTCCAACCCCGAAAAAAAGGGGGGGATCAATAGCGCGCAACTTCAAGCAAATAGGTCCGCCCGGGCTTTTAACCTCTGGCCAGTCAGTCAGACAGGCGAACAGACGGAACACGGTCGTCCGATAAAATAAATTTAGTATCCAAGGTAGACTACAATACATGTCCCACAATCTATCTATCCACGCTGGTCTCCATCCTTAACCACTTCATGTGATGTATTTGCACACTGCGGTATGGCTAGAGAAATACACCACCACACAGCAGCAATTCTGGCCAGTAACCTACCGTACTGGGTAGGGTAGGGGAATCCCCTCGAGCAGCACTACACTACACTACACTCGCAGGTTTAGATTTAATCGAGATCATCCAGAAGCGACAACAACGGCAAAGGGGAAATGTTGTGTGGGGGGATGGGGGGATACCGAACAAGCCTTTTAAATTAATATCATAAGTTATCCGTATGATGGGGGCCATGCATCAACCGTATCCTCTCTAGTCTACCCCACGGGCCCGGTAAGGTAAGGTAAATTCACCCAAGTAGGGTGGAATTTGGAGGGGGGGGGGGGGGAATCCTCTCCACGTTCATTTCTGCCGACACGAATAAGTCAATAATTCCTTCCTTCCTCCTGGAAATGGGAGGATGGGTTTAGCCTAGTCAAATGAGTTATCATACTGGTGTATATATAGGTTTAGGAATAATCATAATTACAATTTACGTCTGTCTTGAAGCTAATGACAATACTAGACATTGTACTAAAGTAATATAGTACGTGCACCGTACAGTGATTTCCAGCAGGGCCCAGATCCTGGTTGTGTCATTAGTAATGGTGGAAAAATTGGGTGTGGGTGAACTCTAGTTTGTAGAGTCTCCTCTATCTGGATAATATATATGCGGTTGGGGTAGTTGCACAAGTGGGATCTAGGGGGGGGGGGCTTCTGCTGAAACTGGTGGCTCATGTCTCTGGCCTTGCGCTGTGCTGTGTGGTGCGGTGCGGCATTGTGTGTCGGGCACTTTCCAGCGCGAAAGTATCCTCGGCAAGTACTTTTAGTAAGGACTTGAGGTAAATAGATACTTTATGTCTAACAAGGAGGTACCACAGCTCATCACCAGTACAGTATACCACAGAGTGGAAATACATGGTGTCAGTACGGTATCCCATAGTGCGAGTAGAAAGCTGTCTCGCGGTGGGTTGGAACAGAGACAACCATAAGAAACAAATCCCACGCAGGTTGTAAATTGCCTATCGTGTGGTACAAATTTAACAGACAGGTGTCTCTTTCCTCTTTTCTACCACCATAATCTCCTGCTCGCTTCCACTTTTTTCGCTTCATGTTCCGCCAATGTTTCTTTTTCTTTTTTTTTTCGATCCGGTTTTCTGATGGTGGGTTCCTGGCAGGGATTGGTACCGTATGGTATCCGGAAAAGTATAGTGCAGAACAAACCCTCCAGTTCTCTCCCTTTCCGGCTTCTCCATATCCATGCCACCTAACGTGCAGGACGGAAATTGAGTGGCGAGGGCAGTCTTTCTGAATACCATGGCAGGATTGGGGGGGCAGCCCGGGTTGTGCTACTCGTGCCAAGGTTGTGACTAAGCGTCACAACCACCGGTTGCTCGCTCGCTCGCAACCTGGGGCACTCAGAGAGTGCCTGCCAGCTCAACATGACTTGCCAGCTCAACATGACTTGTGGCTCAACTCAACTTTTTGTGGCTCAACACTGTGGCTCAACATAAAAGTGTGGCTTAAAATAACATCATTGGAGCATACAATAAACAAATTTAATATTCAAAACTTGAATATTTTAATTTACATTGATTTTCCCTGCCTTTACTTGCTTTTTAATCCCTGCAACAATAAGTTTTGCTATCTTTTTTTTATAGGCTTGAATATTTCGCCTTTTTTTCATATACAATCTCATCTCATCTATGAGAGGCTTTTGCTCAGCATGCTCAAGCCTTTTCTTGGCATTCTGAGCCCGCTGAAGTTGCTTCTCTGCCTTTTCCAACTCAGCATCTTCCCGATTTTTTACCATTTGACGAGCTTGTGAGGCATAAAGAACACCTCCTTTTTGGATCTGCCTCCGGTTTTGCGCCTTACGCCTTGCAGATCTTGCTTCTTCAGCAGCCTGAGTATGCTCCATATGCTCCTTTGCTAAAGCTCCTGACTGGGCTTGAGCTAATCCTCCTTGTAACACCATTCTTAGCTTTTTCTGAAAGGTTGGTGACAGACCTGAGTCTCTAGCATCTTGCTGTAACTCCTCAGCCATTCGTTTCAGGCTACGCACTGTGAGAGGAATTGTAGGTGACGATCCTCTTGGTGGTGTGATA